AAAAGAAAATTACATGAGAAATAAGCTCATATTATTTCTGTTAAATGCACTTATTTAGCCTAGGGAAAAAAGTTTCATTTTGAATAATTAAACTAAACCACTGTTAAACAAGCGTCTACAAACTATTTTCTTACTAAAAAAAATAAATAGTATGAACGTGACTGAGTTTAGTTGGCTAAGCAAGTGGGAGGAGAGGATTTTCACTGCCAGACATCCTGGCTTTTAATCCCAATTCAGTCAATTGTGAGATTATTTAAAAGCAAAATTATTATTATTATAAAGCCTTTAACTTCAATTTAAGGCCAGATTTGAAGAACCTTTGGTTATCCCGCATCCTCCCCTCTTTGCTTCCTTTCTGCAGCAGGGACCTCGTCAATGACAAGTAAAGCCTTTTCCTTGGAAGGGAATAAAAAGCATGACCTCATTTTGTGTCCTGTGCGATGTAATAAAGGCGATTTTACGCTGCCAAACGTAGAGGAGATGCCCTTCATTAGAACTGTGCATACTCAGCGTGTCCATACTTTAATCCAATTTAGTTTAGCATGATAAAGGGCATTACAGCCACCCAGTCCCACACATACTCACGACACGTATGCATTCAGATGCAGGAAATAACAGAAGAAAAGAAAGAAAGAAATGCAGAGCCCTTAAGAATTATTGGGTAGATAATGCACTGCCCCAGTATTTAGGAACATCAGACAATTATATTGAACCCAGGGGCCAGTCAGAGTCCTCTGTGGTAAGTAAAATCTATAACAAAGTCAAACTTGGTTTATTTCTTGCGTCAATATGAAGTAGAGTATTAACTAAAAATATGTCTTAGCCGAACAAGCTTTAGCATTTTTTAATAGATATGAATGTGAGGAAAATGTGCTTCCCTTATTTCATTATATTCCAAAGCAAAAACAGGACACATGGATCCTGAGAAATCAGAACATTTATATGCAAATTTGATAGGTTCAGAAAAAACACTATCTATCTAATGTCTAACTAATGGAAATAACTTTTCATTATGGTTAAATGAACAAAGATGCTTTGCCTGAAGGAAAAATAGCCTTTGGCAAACTGCATCTGGTCATTAATTAGATCCATAAAACTCTTATTCAAATTAAGAGAGAAACTTTATGAGCAAAGAGATTTCATTAGTGTCTCAAAAGAGCAAGAAGCTTTCTTGTGTTTGAGAAATAAAAGAGCGGCTCTTTACCCCACTCAGTGGTTCAGGTACCAAATTAAAAGACCGTGTGTAATGTACTTGTAAGGGTGCAAAATGCACAGAGATTTCTAGGAAAGTGATAAAGTTATTTTCATGGCACTTGATTCGGATTAGTTTTAACATTGAGCAGCTGCCATTATCTTAAAAGGTGTTGCTGTGTCGTGTTGACACGTGTGCCAGTGACTCATTCTACTTATAATAATGCAGCTTCCAGATATGGCCTTCATCTTCAACTGTGAATATAAAAGTCTTTCAATATCCTCTGTACATAATTACAAGTCCCCAAACTAAAGTCAGGAAATGAGAACCGGTTCCAAATTGTCCAATCCATCAGAGTAGGAGGTTCCCTGGGTTACTTTTTTCTTTTTATTGATGCCAATGTGTTTTTCTGACTGTTGAGTCTTGCAAAAACAATGTTGTTAAACTCATGAATCTACTTTGTTGGAAACTTCTAACAAAAAGGAGTCAAGATGAAAAGGAGGAAACGGTGCAAAGCATGGCTTCATTTGAGAGAAAAAAGGATATTTAGTGCTAGTTTTAATGGCTTTAAAATGATCATTTCAAGTACGGGTGGAAACACCAGCAATATGCCGAAACATCTGTCTACACAACTTGGGCTTGAAACAGGAATCCATTAGACACTATTGCTTCTCAGCTAGGCAGCACACATGTTACAAGGGTAAATACTGCATGGTATATCCGTGCAACACAGGCGAGCTTAGCAATTTTTTTCTTCTTTGACTTCAAACAACATTTTTTCCCCCCCTCGCTGCATCCATTTTAAGTTTTGACTGACTGTTGCTACAATAAAATAAGGGAATTCAACCAATAAGGGTAAAAAAAAAAAAAAATCAATTAAGTGTGGTATCAGTGAAGTCATATCAGTTCCCCGAGGAGCTGTGAAACACTTCAGTATTCAAAACAGTCAGCGCCTAAACAAATGACAAGTAAGCCGAATACAGACAAGAAATACTCCGGCAAGATGGCACGAATTAAAGCGCCTTCCACACTGTCTCAAAAGGGCCTTATACCGCTTTGACAGACAGGTTAGAAACATCACAGAAGACAGGAGATGCATGATGCCGCTTCCTGTGGCAGACGTGAAGCTCTAAACTAGGGCTGCTCGATTATGGCAAAAATGATAATCACGATTATTTTCACTGAAATTGAGATCTCGATTATTTGACGATATTTATTTAACCCTTTAATACCTACCATAGAACCAAGTCCGCCAGAGCTTATATTATTTTTTTACATGTTGTAGTGCCATTTGTGGGAGCATTTCAAGTTGCTATACAACTGTTATAGTCCATATTTTAATAATATGTATGCATTAAGTCCATAGTAACTACATTAATTGCAAAAAAGTGCAATAAACTACAAAAAAAAATTGAAAATAGTTTTTGTTTTTTTGTTTTTTACATATATTTCTACTTGGAGAAATTTAAGAGGTTTATCCCTCAAAACTTTAAATACAAAAAAGTTGCAAAAAATAGTTTACAACAACAGGAAATTAATTTTGAGTGTCTTCATAGTTTTATTTTGGAGATACACCAATTTTTATATACTGCAGGAAAAACAAAAAACAATCCTATGATGCAAATTTGCAAAGAAAACAGCAGGTGCATCATTTCACTGTGGGAAGTGTTACGAACAGCTGATCGGATCGGCAAAGCGTGTTTCTGGAATATTATGTTTTTGTCCCTGCAAGCGCTTTTTATGCAATATTTGCAAAGCTTTATGTGGAAGGAAACCGTGACCGAGGACAAGCTGATGGCATGAGATGTAAGTACAACTCCTCTGGTTTAATTATGCAAAACAAATTATTGCGCTAGCTTACGCGGTTCCGGTTCTACAGGGATTTAAAAATAGCTACACAAAACAGAGCGTGCTGCTCTGACCAGCTTTAAAGGGTTAACAATAACAACGTATTGAATAATGACTTTAAAAAAAAAATAAAAAAAAAAATAGTGTGCAACACCACTGACGTTTTTTTTTACCTCTCTTTTCAACCAACGGCAGTCACTCTCCTCTCCAAATAACTTCTGCTTAGCTTTCCGAGCTTCCCTCGGGTTCTCTTAGTCAGCGGTCTCCAACCTCTTTTGCACCATCGACCGGTTTATGCCCGACAATATTTTCACGGACCAGCGTTTAAGGTGTCACGGATAAATGAGGGAGGGGCTAATAATCGGCTCAGTCATTTTTAATGATCGTTGAAAGCCCAGATCGTAATCGTGATTAAAATTCGATTAATTGAGCAGCCCTACTCTAAACGAAAAGATACCGTTCAGGGCCCTAGAATGATGCAATGACAAGGATTTGTTTTAACTCTTTACACTATGAAACAACATTTTACAGTCTCCCCCATTATGAGTTTTGACACCTCAGTATATATCAATAAAAATGTGGTTTGACGACCATTAGGATGGTTTCCAGGTCTTTTCAAGCATACAGTAGCTGCATAGGCAGAGATTACCCTCACTAACTTCTGATGCACACCCAGTCATTTTGTTCTATAAGCAGACCAGAAATATGAGAGAAAGCACTCAAGGAGCTTCAAGGGGTAAAGAGGTAAACCCCATTTGTTTTAACAATTACTTTCCTGATGTGGCAGACCCAATAAAATAACTAATAACCCTGAGCTGACACATGTAAACATTTGAATTAAAATATAGCAATTTATAGTCTATGCTTGTTTTTCCTAATACAACACCAGGATTCAGAGAGCCTTTCGCATGAGAATTTGAGAAAAGTTTCAAACATGTTGGTCTTAGAGCTAAATAGGTGACTTCAACTTAACTCTTGGGATTCAGGTTTCCATTTTATAAGTCTGAAGAGAAGTTTGTTCAGCTACTTTTTGACAGATTGATTAACATACAGCTCTTACTGGTGTGCATCTGAATATCCCTGTAATCTTATAACCCCTATTTTGATGTGTTCAGATCAAATTTTTTCCCACTATTGAGCTCATTTCCACAAATGTTGACTTTCTTGGGGTATCGAAGGCATCATAACTCTGACACTCAAACATTATGTGCTTGTAATTGTAATACAGTTACAACTGGGACAAACGCTGTCCTTGTTGCGTATGTCCCTCCCCGGGCGAAAGAATCTTAATGTGAAGCACACATGTAGGAATAATTATGCATTAGCACGATAGAATGCATGAAGGACAGCGGATTAACAAGGTTACAAATGCAAGTAACACTTTGTTTAACCTTGTAAGGCTGATATTGGTTGGCCCCATTTCCACAGACCTCCAACCCTGTGCATTGCCACCTGGTGGTAAACCTGTGCCTTCAGCTGCCCTGCCCACCTGGTCACCACTGCTAAAAGCAAAAATATGCATTGCATGCCAAAAGCACTACCAGCAGCTATCACCAGTGGCACCATGTAAGAGGAAGTCTTGGCAGAGGGGAAGCGGAGATGAAATGTGGCAGTCACAGGAGGTGTGTACAGCTAGCTATGTTTTTCCACTCCGCTGGAGGTACAGCCAACCTGTTCTCCTCAACTATATATGGAAGTAAACAGGATGCTAACAGCGGGATAGAGGTAGTATGCCATATGTAGGTCGGTAATCTTGTTGTTTTGACCAAAAGCTTCTCATAGGACCATAAATTTAGAGTCAATATAAGTCCTTCATCTTCTGGGAAACTCAAATGGAGAACATTAAATCTCTCATTAAACCACAAGCTGCTACCATTGCATCCATCCATACATCCATCCGACCGGCAAGAGGCAGAGTACAAAATGTGTACGTATAAACTTGTGGACAGTATGTACTTACTGCAGGTACAAGGAGCTTCTTGACCTCCTCCACTGCTCTCCTCATCTTGATCTCTGCTCTAGCCTGTGTGTCTTCCACTGTGATGAGGACATGAAGGTCTTCATTTAGGTGTTCCCAGTTTGGCTTCCCTCTGTTCTGCTCCTCCTGGACAGAGAAATAGGAAGAGTGAGAGAGACGTTGAGTGAATGTGACAGTGTGGGTGTGTTAGAGTACCAGTGCAGTAACACGGCATATCAGAGAAAGTGGAGGCGAGAGGCAGGCATACACAGAGGACGACGGGGCCCTGTGAAGAGAGGCGGGATGACAGGGCCGGCCCTTTAGTCAGCTATTTAGCTTTAACTTTGAAAGGACACCCTTCTTTAATAGATCCCTCGCTTCGCAGAGACAAAGATGACAGCTAGCCCTGCAGCAATTAATATCAGTGAAAGATGGATGGATCAGAGAGAGATGGATGGGGATATTTTTATTTTATTTTTTTTTTAAACCGCAGCAACTTCACTTGTTGGAATAAAATTATAACATAGCTAGGGCTCAGAGTATGTGAAAGTACATGAGTGTGCATCTGCCTCTGACACATTTTGACATACACTGTAAGGGCAACAAAGGTTCGATGAAGGAGTCGTTTTCCTTCCTACAAAGGCAGCAGCACAGCACTCTCAGGGTCCCAAACTGTAGCAATAGCAGCATCTAAAAGGAAAAAATGGGTTGTATTCAAAACCACCATCACTGCTAGATAGCCTTTCAACACAGTTAAATAGGAAGCAGGCTCAAAATTGAAATTTGGCAGACTGAAGTTTAGAGAAGCTTTATGTTTTCAGTTACCTCCATGAAAAGCCCAGTCATACCCAAGTCGTGTGAAAAAGGTAAAATGGGATATATGTACAGACAAAAAAATCCTACATTTGCAGCAAAAAAATAAAAAATGGGATCAATCTTCAATTTAGCATAGCTACTTTCCTCCCTCTTCTTGTTGCCCGGCTGACAGTAAATCTAGCGAGCAGACACTGAGAGCGCTCTAAAAAGCTTTTGAGGTTGGATCGCATGTCAGCGTACAACCATGAAAGCCAGTGGTTTGAAAGCAGACTACTTCCCCTTGAGGTGAGGAGTTGAGGTCTAGGTTGTCTGTAAAAGATACAACCTCAGATTTTGATGTGTGACACCACATTATAGCACCAAAAAGGGGAAAAAGGGATAATAATGCTCAAATGTTTCAGTTCGTGAAGACAAAACGTGTAAAGTGAAAATGAATCTGACTGCATTGTAAAATCAGAAATGTTTTTCCAAAGGAGGTCAGAGTCTCGAGGAGTCAGCTGCATACTCTCCTGCTGTTGTTCATAAATACTGTATCGTTTACTCCCGCCCATACAAACCACCTCAACTCCAGATCACAGCTCATTTCTGAGTAGTAGGCGAACTGCTGCAAGGATGTCTAATTACAAACAATGCATTGCAGTGCTCTGCATGGGGTCCACCTGACATGATTTCAATATACTCAACGAGCACCTCAAAGTGAGGTGGAGCACGCACGCACGCACAGTACTAAGAGCTTGAGCTGAGTGCCACCCACCTGCTTTCTACTCCACAGAGAGCTGTTGCCATGGCACTGCTCTTTACAACACACAGACACACACACACACACACAAGAAAGTTCAATATTCCACTCTCGTTTTCCCCTTTTCCACACATGGGTGTGGGTGGGAGGGTTGTTGGGGGGCTAGTTTTCAGCAGTCAGGCCATTATTTCACCATGGCTGTTTGCTTATGGCCTATTAGGGGACATGGGGACTGGAACGTGACTCAGCACTTTCTGGAGGGGACAAGACAGAAAGGCCACAAGGGCTGCCACTGTATGCAGGACACAGTATGAAAACACATGGCTGACACGTAAAAGTATTTACACTGACAGACTCCTGCTCAAGTTGGAACCAAAAAAAGATTAGTCTGTCACATGCTCGTGCACATATGTGTGCAAAGTGTGACCACCAAAGCTCGGACAGATTCAGATTTGGTAAGGATTTTATCCAAATATATCGGGGGGTGGGGGGGATGCGTACACCCACACATCTCACACCAGCATGACTGCCTGAGAACAAGGTCACTGTGTGCCTCTGAGAGAATGTGACAGCATGACAAACAGGAGGAAGGCTGGAGGGGGAGGTAAGAGGAGACCTACCAGGAATATTGGGAAGGCCTTTGAAGACAATGTCCATGCTGGCCAACATCAAATGCCACTGCAATAACCACGTACCGGAGGGCAATGGATTTTGGCAAAGCACGTAGCATGAAAAAATAGCATGGGGATTGCATCTATAAACACCATCTAAGAACAGGATCAAGGGGAAAGGCTGCTAGTCAGCTATGTTGCCCGACTTCCAACGTCTGGGCAGCACCTGTTAGCCCGTTGCATTTCACACCTCTCAGAAAACTTAAGGCCTCAATTCTCACCACATGTTAAAAGGTTACAAAAATATAGCACTGATATTTTTGACGATCCCTTTTTTGGTTGTCCTAAAAATCGTGATTCAGCGTAGGCTTTTTAAACTTATTTCATGATCTGAGTAGTTATTCTTTACAGTCAGGTACACTCAAAAGGATCTTTGGCCATGCGGCGCCACAATTTTATTGTTATTTTGTTGGTATTTGACAGTCTAGCTACTGTTTCAACTCTGCCTTTGCTACTCTGAACGGCCCATTTGCTTTTGATCCTAAAGGATTTCCCAACTAAGGTCAGAACAACTGAGGCTGAATGCAAGCAGGCCAAACAGGTGCAGCAGAGAGCTGCAAGGACATGGAAGGACAAGAGAAGATAAGCAAGAACAGGAGAAGAACAGTAAGCACTGAGGGGAAAAGATATAACTACATATTAAATGAAAATGAGCCAGATTACAGAATAAACACAGAAAACCAACATATCCACCCCCAAAATGTAGATGACAGTGGTTAAAAAATTCAACTTATCAATAAACAAGATCAAAAATGACAGATTGAACATGACATTACTAAACAGGTCACCTTTAAATCTTTGTGGCTAAAGGACATAGCCACCTATCACAGAGGAAACAAAGACATGAATTACTGGGTAATACGGCAAGTGTAGCTGCACCCTCTGCTCAATGCCAATCACATTAAGGGTGCTCAAAACAGACCAAAAACAGCCTGCAACACAACTCCGTTACAAATAAGGCTTTTCAGATTGCAGGGAGTACAAATCATTCTCTCAGCCATCAATACCATATGGATGTTGATTTCATTTTAAAGTCAAAGTGACTTTGTGCGACACTTTGTGTCCATTAGGTATTCGGTTTCAGTCAGTGTATTGCAAACCAGGCCTCAAGTGACCCCACAGGCTCTAAGCAATTGGACATATTGTTTTTAGGGTGTATTTTATCCATTAGCTACAACAACTAAACTAATGTTACTAAACTATTGTTAACAGTTGGTCATTACAGTGATTAAGTATAAATTCAAAAACATAAAAACAGCTTGAAAGAGTTAGAGCTATAAATATAAAATGAGAGAAAAGAACCAGGCAGATATTTTGACTCGACATTGTTTCCCTTAAGTTGTTCAGCTTAAGGTAAACATTGCTAATAACCAGCCATTAATATTAACTAATTAAGGTAGACTAAATTATTCACTGCTTTCTCTCGCCATGCACCAGCATCTGTGCACTGAAAGCATGAAGCCGTAATACCTGCATGTATACTCTGCTATTCTCACAGTGTGCCCTTTTGCGGTTGGATGGTGCCAAGTTAACCAAGGCGCAGCCCCGATGTCTACCAGCTTTTCTGGTGTGTAATCAGCCTGGCAGCCTGTGCTTCTTCCACAATCAAATATTAATGTTCACAAATTAAATTGGATTTTATATATAATTTAGAAATGTACAACACTAAATATCCGCCTTAGTCCTTTTCTATGACAGTCACCTTTTAACCTCCTAAAGCTATTTGCAGAGGAAAAGCTCCAAGGCAACTAAAGTAACACCTGGACTCTGAAGACTTAAGTACAAAGAAGCTATTGTGGCTCTATCGAAGTGCATCCAAAGATGAGGAGCTAAAAAAATAAATTAAAATGTAAACAAAACAAGTAGGTCTGCTGCAGAGCCAGCAGGCTAATGGAATTCAGTGTATTGACTGCCAATGTCACATATTAACTCTTAAGCAATAAATGCAGGAGCTGTAGTGTGACTCTGTCTATGGGCTGGCACAAGCTGATGGCTCAAATTGGAGTCCGATTCTATTCCATCAGTGACCATGCTGATAGCACAGTTTTAGCCATTATGTTTTGGGACAATCAGCAAAAAAAACCAAATCAAAGCAAATTCACTTGATAGAGAACATTTTTCAAGTGCAAGTCTGAAAGGACATTTAGTGCGACTCTAAATGAAACAGCCATCTACGTAATTTCACCATGTAGCAGCCAAAATAGAATTAGGGAATTGGTTTTGCAAAAGGGAAGGGAAATCCCTTTTCTGCCTGTGCAGCGGTCGATACAGCGTACCTGTAATTTAATTGCAGTTGTTCTTGCTGCTGTTTTGCATTAAGCGCGACTGCGGGAGTGGAAAACAGAGACCAAAGCTGCCACGTCAGGTGAAAATCTGATTGGAATATGGCTGCAAAGAGAGTCCTTTTTAGCTGTCAGAAAAATAATTACTCAAATGTGTCAGAAAATCTTTCATCTTTCCAACCATACTTCTCTATTAAGAGATGTTGCAAAAATCTACGTGTACCAGTCACTCTTATAGAGACCTCACAAGTTATTTTCATGTGTTAGACTCCCCTGTCTCAGCCTAAGCTGGATTTCAGATGCCTGCACATACACACAGACATTTGTAGTAAGTTCACTATTTTCATATTCTGTATTTGCCTACCATGCCAAACCATAAATGATAAAAATACTTCTGCTGGGCTCTGTCCATTATAGCTGCCCAACATCATTTTAGCGTCAACACTATGGTGTGCAGGCCTGCAATCGTTACATCACAGGCCGTGCTGCAACTCATTTGACAAAGAGTGTGTCATTACAGAAATATATTGCCTCAGTCCTGAGGAAATGTCGATGGTGACTCGGTCAGAGGCACAAAACAGATTTTTCTCTAATGTTTTTTTTTTCTTCTGTTAAAAAAATTAACATTCAAGAAAGAACGGTTTGCACTCGATTATTACTCAGGGGCAAGAAATGCAGCTATTCTAGGGAAAATTCATGAATATCACTTTATTTTTCCATCTTGTCCAACATGTTTCAATTTCTACTTCAGATATTCTATTCTAAATAACCCAATGCTGCACCAATAGACAAAAGACATTTGTTAACTATGCTTAAATACTGTGCTTGGAAACAATTAAATGACTACAGTTTTTAATTTGCACACAAAATACTACAGCAAACAAAAGAAGACTGCAATGCAACGTAAATTTGTGTCAGGCAGCCTAAAACAAAACATATGTATTGTTACATAAATATACAACAATTAATTATAATCTGGTGTGATTAGATGTTCAGGATTACAAAAATCTCCATCACTCGTCATCCATCAGTCTACCCTATTGTTCTCTTCACCTGCTTCTTTCCCTCTTATTTTATTTTCTGCTTTTCTTCTCTCACTATTGTTCTTTACTTCTCTTTCCCATTCCATAGCTCCAGTGAACTGACTCCCTGTCAGGCAGTGCGACCCAAGAGGGAGTAACCAGCTGAATTATTGAGAGCATAAAAATGCTGCTGCTAATGGATCCTGAATAAACACACTGGCTAAGCTGCTGCCGTGGCATCCTCTTCTGCCACGGGGCATCAAGCTGAAAATACTGAGGTTGAGAATGCAGTGACTGGGAGCTCCTCACGCAGCTTTATTTGCAGCTGAGCCACAGCCATGAGACGCTTCAAAGCTTTTGGGGTCCTGTAAACAAATCTCATAGTATCTATTATGATTTATGGATCCAAAAACAGTCACATTATTAGGCGTTTCCCTCATTACGCACCGTAACGCAACATTAATGGGGGGGAAAAAAACAACATTAGTGGAGTGTTGAGTGATTAATGTAATTAAATCTTCAGTTATAATTTTGTTTAAAGAAAGATAATCGAAATAGGGAATTATTGTGCTGCAATCAATTTTGTAATGGTGTTCTGGTTTTGTCTCTTTTTATGAGTCCAGCAAATGCCTTTTCCTCAACAAAGGTGAAACTATACCAGCAAACTCCTGAACTGGAGACTAGTGAGCTCAACTTCCATCAAAACAATCCTGTAACCCTACCACCTAATTTCTTTTCCATTCACTTATTTGTTGTTCAGTTTAATTAAATTTAAAGTTCAAGGAAATCACAGTTAAACATTTTTAAATTCCACAAATGTATAATGTTTTTAGTCTCGATAAGTAATCCTCTCAAATAATGATTTTTTTGTAGCCCTA